TTACCTTTACCCTAAGAAATACTTTCTATTATAAATTTGGAGTAAAGTTGGCGGTATACATTGATTCAATTTGCTCAAAAGTTTATATAAAAAGTATTTCATATGCGCAAATACATTCAAGGTATCTTATAGATTCTAAAGCGGAGGGATTTTATGATAAATTGACTGATTTAGACAGGATCTTGACAGGTACTGATGAAAAAATGATTAAAAAATTATACATTTATTTGTTGGAAATTTTATTAGAGGAGGAACAAGTTAAAGAAACGATGATTGTTTGGGGGAAGAATTTTGGATATGGGATTGATTTGGAGAAATGGGAAAAATTGTGGTCTCAAAATTATAAAATGACAATGTCAACAGCTTATAAAGAAAACTTGTATAAGATGTTTTACAGGTGGCATTTTCCCCTGACAAGAATCGCAAGAATGTTTAAGAACAAATCTGAAAAATGTTGGAAATGTCATCAGATACCTGGCTCATACTATCATATGTGGTGGACTTGTGAGGACGCTAGAAAATATTGGACTAAAATCCGCATATGGTTGGAAAAAATGACAAAGACACATATAGACTTGAAACCAGAGATTTTTTTATTGGGAATCTTACCTGATATATATAATAAAAATTTGAAGTATTTGATTGTAAATATATTAACAGCGGCTAGGATTGTATTTGCTAAGAACTGGAAGAGTGAGAAAACTCCATCAGAAGAAGAAATTATTAAGAAAATACTGGATTGTGCTGAAATGAGTAAATTGACATTTGAAATCAGAGAACAAGAAGATAAACAATTTTATGAAGTTTGGGATCTTTTTTATCAATGGTTAGATAATAAAACATAATGATAGAATATTTGATTTAGCATAAAAAAAATTTTTTTCTTGATATTATCTTTATAAAACATTATCAAGGTAGATTTGGTATGATCTTATGATTATTGCAAAATAAATTAAGCAAATTATACTTATCTCGTTAAAATATGAATTAACAAAATTATAAATGATTTTTTTTAAGTGATGATATTAGGTTATACAATTATTGATTGATAATATGAGCTATTATGTAATATAATTATACTAGTGACTAGGAAATGGATGCACAAAAAAAAGTGGTAAACCAATTGATGCACTGTATGTAAATTTATGAAGAAGGATATTTTTATGTTTTTTGTGTTATGTTTATGTTAATTTTGTTGTGTATGCTTATGCTTGTTATTAAAAAAAAAATTATTAAAAAAAGTTTATATAAAAAGTAAACGTAGGTACAAGAATGTTCCTTCTGCCTTTTAAAAAATACTTTATGCATGGAGGCATACTCTGTGCTTTAAAAACCTTTTCCGAGGAAGACATTTCTGAAAATCCTCTATTTCTCTTGCTTGTCTCTCAAATTGAATTTCAAAGGAGATCAATGACTAGGACCTTCAAGCTTGTGAAGTCCAAATATATACAGTAGAGTCAACTCAAGCTGAACTTTGGGGACCATATGAACATCGATACCATATGAGTTTCCAGACAACTGCAGGGAGGTGGTTTCCTTTAAGGAAGGGTGTTTTTTCTTGTACTGTACAAGCTTGGAGTTTAGCTTTGAACCCTAGATCTGATCAGCTATTAATTTAAAAAGCTATACATTTGAAAGTTAGTTCCAAATTATATGGGATATCATTTGTAAGATTTTCCAAGATTTGCCATTGTTGCATTACATTTTGAATTGATTTTAAACCTAATTTGATTATCCATATCTCTCTTATAGGTGCTTTCTGTATCCAAAGACGGAGAGCTTCACCAAAAATTTGAGAAACTTATTTCTGAAATCAACAAACCAGGAGCCAATTATATCCTCAGTCTAGCCAACCGGCTCTTTGGAGAAACATCATATGATTTTCTTGCAGTAAGTTGGAGAACTGGCTGGAAACAGCCATAAAAGCTCAGTTTGTTCTAATGTTTGCCTATCTCATTGTAATTGCAATTTGGCTCTAACAAAATGCTGAATATTCTTATAATTTTACATGTTAAACAATTGGTTGGAAATAAACCATAAATGTTCTGTATGTTCCAATGTTTGCTTATCTCATTGCAATTGCAGTTTGGCTCTAAAATGTATCTAATGCTCCTATAGCTATAACTTGGTCTATTGAGTTATCTGAAGGGAGAATTAAAAGGCCAGCTGCTTTTACTGGGAATGTTACAGGAACACCCAGTAATATTTTAGCTTCTTAAATATAGAACTCTTAAGAAAAGGCAAAATAGAACCGTGTGACCAATAATTGCCAAATATATTCTTGAATAAACAAACTGTATTAACTATCCAAAGGCCCTGCCTGTTTGTAAGGAGAATTCAGCTTAATAAATAATGTTTTTGGATTGTTAGTTGATAGAAAAATGAGACAAAATCAATTATTGTTTTTATTATTGCTTCTGTTATTGAGATATCATTGTTTCTTAAGTCATTTATAGAATCCACTGAGAAATTCTACCATGCAGGTCTGGAGAAACTTAACTTCAAACAAGCTTCAGAAGATTCGAGAAGACATATAAATGCTTGGGTAGAAGAAAAAACCTCAGGTGAGAACGATAATAAGAGTTTAGTATCTGCATTCAGTAAGACATGCAATATTGTGTGTGCATGTGAGAGAAACAGACAAGGCAGGCAAAACCACCATAGTTAACTTTTACTTGCTACTTTGAAGCCCATCAAACCTCTATGAAATTCTAGCCAAGAATAGTTGTTTGATTTTGTCCATGGACACATCTGAGCAGGTTTCCATTACTTAACTTGCTTGTTGTTTAACTTGTGTGTGTGTGTGTGTGTGTG